ACATGAAAACACTCTCTGAATTTTAGGATCTTAAAAATATAGAAAATTGTCCTATGCTTTCTGTGCTGTTTAATGCTTTTATGACTTTTGTAACATCTTCTGGATCACTGTCCACAATAAAGTTTATATAAGTGAGTGTGCACACATACATAGAAATTTACACTGTAGTTTAATAATTTAATATTTTATTCCCAAAGGAGTTTTGTAATTTAGCCATTTAATTTTAACCATTGGATTTCTAAAATATTCTACTACTTAATATTTTTGAAATTTGAACCATCTTATTGATTTCTATTAATTATCTAGAAAATAGCTATGTATTTAAATTTGAGCCTGTAAATTACAAAATATACTGCTCAGTGATTGCAATATAAATGTTCCTATTTTATGGTATTCCCTTACATTGATTCAATTATAATAGACCATGTAGGTTTATTAGAAAATCATAACACTTAGATAATACAGCTCTGTATGTGGCTTTAGGGAATATAAACATATCTTTCCTTTCTCACTGCAATGCTCACATATCTCAGAAACACTTCTATCTTTCACCTGTATGCTTTCTTTGCAACTATAATTTGTGCTGTCTTAAAACAATGAACAATATAAATCACTTTACTAACAAAGCATATGAACAAGCAAGCAAACAAACAAACAAACAAGAATAAGCATTGGCTTTCTTGCATTGATAACATGGACAAATCTTGCAAGAGATTTTCTTTATTTAAAAATGCAGCTAAATAAGAGTAAGGAATCGTAAATAATTATGGCTATTTTACATTCATCTCTGACTTGTGACTGAAATCCTGGCTGACATTTACACTGATTGTTTGGAAAGAGGTATGATTTATGTGTGCATGTAAAAAAGTCCCAGTTTTAGGATGCACATAAAGTTATAGCAATCATATTAATTCTGTACATCTCCTCTAATACTAACAGCACTGTTTAACAAAGCAGATAAGCAATCAATGATTTGACTTTACTATTTCAACTTTTCAACCCCATATTTTCATTTTTCCTCTTCTTACAGTATTTGACAACAATGATCTAACCTGGATTCTTGCCTTGAGCAAAAGATTAGATTCATTGTTTTAAAAGGCAGGCTTTGTAGTTTCAAAGTAGGAGTTAATGAAAAGTCAAAAGCACTTTCCATCACCTCAAAATGGCCATCTTGATGAAATCAATCCAATCAATGTTTCAGATTTCAACAGGGTGAAATCTATGAAATCCCTGCTGTACTTCAGGTCCCTATTAAAGAACAGCTCTTACCTTGATGCACTGTGTTTAACATTAATGAACATTTTGGGGTGTTTAACTTTTTAACCAAGAGTACACCAAAATGCCAACTCTTTTTTCTTTGCATATATTAAGTCTCTCTCTATGTATGTACTCTATATGTTTGTATGTCGGTATGTTTGTAAAGGTACCATGGGGGAGAGAGAATGGGGAAGTTTAATGTTAGCTTTTTTTTTTAAGCAAAATGTTATGCCATTTTGTATATTTTTTAAAACGTGGTAAACACAATACAAATGGTGGAAATAAGAAATCTCTGAGGCAACCAACTGATTTCTTTCCACAACAGACTAGATCTGCCCACAATCCCAGGTGTGAGAACTACATCTGCTTACAATCCTTTGGTGCTATCTGAGTTTAGTTGTTTTCTTGCAGACATTAATTATTCAAACTAGGTAATCTTGTCAGGCACTGATGATGTTACTTAGTTTGGATTATGAAACATCTGCAAGAAAATAAGCAAGGTCAGAGAATACCAAGGACCCTTCATTTCAACTGTGAGCTAAAAATATTCTCTTTTATTAATCCCAATTGTTATGTGCATGGAGTAGTAGCAATGCCACAGTGAGTATTTGTCTGATACTCACAATTAAATCACAAGATGTTTCAACGTTAGTTATTTTTTCTTGAATTGTGTAGAACCTTAACTGACCATGTATTTTTCATGGAAATTTGATTATACTGCTTGACTGAGTGCTACAAAAGTGGTGATTGGGATGGTGACAAAACAATATTTATGCCTTTGTATGATGGTATATATCCAGAGGTGGGATTCTACCAATTCTGTCCACGTTTGTAGAACCGGTTGCTCTGAAAAGCAGCAAACAGAGAGCATACATAGAACCAGTTCTATGTCTGCTGCTGTTTTGGCCCACCTGCCTGCCTGGGCTCTTAGCTGACCTTTATTTCCTGCTTTTTCAACTGCAGCTGCTTTGCATGACACAGCTGCGGTTGAAAAAGCAGGAAAAAAAAGGGCTTTTCCAACTGCTGCGCACTTGCATGCAGCACTGCTCAGCTGTCCGGGCAGCTCAGCAGGTCATAAATTGCACTTTTGCGACTCATGCATGCGTGCACTATGCAGAGCAACAGAACCAGTAGTTATACCAGGATGGTCGGATCCCATCCCTGTATATATCTTATGTAGAAAGTATTCATATTGCTAAATCTAAAAATTATGCTGAGAAAATGGAAAGACCCTGTAAGGGAAATTTATATGTGAATGCTATTTCAGATTTCCTTAGCTTTTAAATCTTGTTCTACAAAACCTAATTTACTTTTACTATGAAGATTCTAAAAATGGTGAAACTTGTATTGCAGAACAACATAATCACAGTGTTTCCTATAGCAGATTGTATTCTGTTCTTGATCATATACTATGATCTCTAGAGATAAGCAAACTACTATGCAGAGTTTGGATGGATTTTTTTGTCCAATTTTTTCATATTCAGTTGTTTCATTTCAATACAGTCTTTAAAATTCTTTTTAACGATGCAGGCAGATGAATTTTGCAACTCACTCAGAACTCATCTTCTTTTCATAATACACTTTCCATGTGGCACCAGAAAGATATTACTTTGCTATATTGCTCCATTACACCAATTTTAAACGCTCCAATTAATGCTTTCGGAACATTTATTACTACTAGTGTTAATTGCAGATAGGCAATTTTATGGTGGCCAAGAGCCAAATTTAAAACTTTTTAGGGAGCTGAGCGATACAAAATGGAAGACTCTGTAACACATTATCAGACATGGGTGAAATTTGGAGGAAAGCCTGAAGCTTTTCCTTATTTTAGTTGTGAAGAACTATTACATTCCCGTTTTAATCTGTAGAACCTTTGCTTGTTGCACCTACAGTTTTTAACAATCTTGACCACATGGAAGGTCATGTCAAAGGATTTAGTCAATGGAGGTCACTACCTACCTTAGATACTATTCCCAAACAATGCAACAATTAAGTATGATGCAGATATTATGGCTTAATAGTTGAGGGAAATAATAGAACGGAAAGATAAAATTTAGGAAAAGAATCCGAAACATTACCTGAACATCCTTGGTGAAGCTGTGGACTGTAGCCAGGGTAAGTTGAAATGACAACCATTGGTCCATAACAATGCTCAGTGATGAAACCAGACTTAATGATATTCGGCTAATTTAACATTTGGTTCTCATATTTAATATTGCTTATAAATCCTTTATTTAAATCAAGAGCAAGCTCCAGAAAGGCAACCTGTTGCATAAATGGCTATAATCTGATATTAGAAGGAAAATTCTTGAAGTCTTGCTCAAGCCAGTTATTGAGTTTACTTAATATTTTTATTGCTTTTAAGTATTATTTGCTACTGTGCTGCATTGATCCATTTCTGGGACTCATGAAAGAGTGAGCCTGCTCTTAATTGCTACCTCTGGATTGTGCCCCCGCTTTTTAATGTGTCCTTTTTCTGTCATCAACGGAAATGATTCAGTGAAAAGCAGTGCTAACTCCTACAAAATATGTAAGTATTTTAGGAGCTGCTGAGTTAATCAGAATCAATTAACTTTTCACACAAGAATAGGCTAAGTCTATTAGCAATGCATAGTAGTCACATTATCATCTGCAAAGTCTGCACTGTGTTTACAACTTTGCTCGCTAATGATTTCTGCACTTAAGGTATATTTTAACAGAGGCTTAAATCCGTATAACACTAATCATTTTTTCACCACCTGTCATAAATCTTTTTTTTATTGCTATGCTTAAAGCCATCACTTGGGTTTCAGTATTCATTGGGGAAGCTCTTTTGGAGAGGGGAAAATGTATTTCTTTCCTAGTTTATTAAATATAAAAACTCTTCACTTTGATTACATCTCTTTATGAAAGCATTAATGTAGATCACTGTTTTTTTCCAGAGAAAAAGCTGTTTATGGCCTTTGAGTGATGTGTAGAGGCTGCACTCTAATAATAAACCTAAAACTAAATCTGATTAAATTTCAGTCTAATTTAAATTTAAAATTATATTAAATTACTTAAATGATTTAGTTAATGTGATCATTTCACCATGTGTAAAATAAAATGGCAGGTTAGTGGTAAATTCTGGAAGGACTATATTATGGGGCTTCAGCTTCTGTGTTTCTGTTCTGCTCCTATAATGCCTGAATAATGTGAGATTCACTCTGTATCTCTGAGTTAACCTCCTTGAAACTAAAACATTAATGTGGTGGTAACATCTAAAAAACTTTGTTTGGTCAAGAAAGCTAAGCAAGTTTCTGCTGGTTAGTGTGGTTAATTTCTAATTTAGTTTGCATCTAGCACAATCCCAGTCAGTCAAAAATTTAATCAGATCCTGATCACAGTAAGCATATATGCCACTCACTGCACTTACCTTGATGTTTATTTAATATCAGCAAGTTCAGTAAAAAAGGAAAACACCCAAAACTGTTAACCAGCAAAATAGGATACAAGTAAATGAAAGTAAAGAGAGTGAGAGAGTGAAAAAGAGAGAAAGAGAAGGAAAGAAGAGGAGGAGGAGGAGGTAGTAGAATGAGATAACTAATAGGCATCTATATATCAATAAGCACTGGAAGCAATGCCATAGGTAATCAGCATCAACAGTCTCAAAGAGACCTGTTTAACTTTTTTTTAATATACATAATATCAGCAACATAGAGATGGAAAAATGGACATAAAATAATCATTCCTCTATTCTGCAACATTAAAAAAATAATAGGTAGACATGAATGAAAGTGTTGTTGGCCCTTGGATGGGTGAACTTAAGAAATCCTTTGGCTACAGGCTACGTTAGACAGTAAAGAAACACAGAAGAAAACAATGTAAACAATTTCTTATTTCCTGCCAAGAAAATGACAAGGATGTATTGATGAAATTTTTAGGAGCCATGGTTGGTGTTATGTCCTGAGAACTCTAGGAGTTCTCACTCAGGTCCACTCA